GATCGTCGTGAAAGGAGGCGCAGATTTGTGATCGCAAGCTGCGCGGAACAACCAAGAGCCACTTACGACCTTCGGGGGCGTAGTTGCGTCGGTGTAGCAGCCGATCACGAATGGCGAAATGAGCAGCTAGACGTCGGAGAGATCGTGGTACCGCAGTGGTTGACGATCCAGAGAGACAGTTAAAAAGGGAAGCGATCCACGGGTCCTTGTGTTGTTCACTGGCAAAGGAGTCGAGGTCGAGAGATGCGACGGAGTTGGTACCAGTGGTTCCGCAGGCCGAGTTGGGAGGTAAAGGCGAACGCGACAGGGCGTCGGCGTCAGAATGCTTGCGTCCGCTGCGATAGATGACACGAATGTCATACTCCTGGATTTGCAGTGCCCACCGAGCTAGGCGGCCAGAAGGATCTTTCAATGTGGCGAGCCAACAAAGTGCATGGTGGTCCGTTACCAGGTCGAATGGGCGACCGTACCAATAAGGGCGGAACTTGCGAAGCGCCCACACTAGCGCTGAGCACTCTTTTTCAGTGACGCTGTAATTGGCCTCAGCTTTAGTAAGTGTGCGACTCGCATAAGCGACGACGTATTCGGAGTAGCCCGGCTTGCGTTGGGCGAGGACGGCGCCTAAACCAACCCCACTAGCGTCTGTGTGAACATCTGTTGCAGCTGTTGGGTCAAAATGCCGAAGAATTGGAGGAGATGTTAGCAGACTACGGAGCGTGGCAAACGCGACGTCGCAGTCAGAAGACCAGGATGAAAGGTCTGCGTCACCGCGTAGGAGGTTGGTCAGTGGTGACATGATCGACGCAAAATTTCGCACAAAGCGCCGGAAGTACGAGCATAGTCCGACAAAACTGCGTAATTCTTTCACTGTAGTAGGTTTCGGGAACTCAGCGATTGCTCGCAGTTTTGCAGGGTCGGGTCGAACACCATGCTTGGACACGATGTGCCCTAAGATGGACAGCTCTCGCGTGGCGAAGCGGCATTTTTTAAAGTTCAGTTGGAGCCCAGCGTTGGTTAAACACGTCAGAACCAGTTGGAGGCGAAGCAGATGTGTAGGAAAATCGGGAGAGAAAACGACAATGTCGTCGAGGTAGCATAGACACACAGACCACTTCAGTCCATGCAGCGTGCTGTCCATGAGTCGTTCAAACGTGGCAGGAGCATAACAAAGCCCAAATGGCATTACGTTAAATTCGTACAGGCCATCTGGTGTAACGAATGCAGTTTTCTGGCGATCAGCTTCTGCCATAGGAACCTGCCAGTATCCAGATCGTAAGTCTAAGGAGGAGAAGAATTTGGCTCCTTGGAGGCTGTCAAGGGCGTCGTCGATGCGCGGTAATTGATAGACGTCTTTCCGCGTCACCTTGTTTAATCGCCGGTAGTCGACGCAAAATCGAATCGATCCCTCCTTCTTTCGAACTAGAACGACAGGAGATGCCCAAGGACTGTGCGATGGTTGAATAACGCGACGGCGTAGCATCTCTTCGACCTGGTCGTTGATGACGTGACGTTCTGCAGCAGAGACACGGTGCGGTATTTGACGTCATGGCTGGTGCGAACCGGTGTCAATGTAGTGGTGCACTGCGGAAGTCCGACCCAATTGCGGCTGAGAAACGTCGAATGAACTTGCGAAGTGCTGGAGGAGATTAAGAAGCTCGGCGCGTTCGTGGGCACTTAAGGTGTCGGCGATGGAACTCGAGAAGGTGTCACTTGATGAGCATTCCAGTGGGGAAAGGGCATGAAGTTCGGTCGAGGCGCTATTGCACGATTCGTCTGGCATGTTAAGGAATAAAGAGGAATCGAGGTACTCCACTCGACCGAGACATTCGCCGGCAAGTAGCGTAAGCGGTGCACAAAGGGGATTGTGGACGAAAATATTGCTTCGGCCAGCAGTGACGTCGAGTGTAGCGAAAGGCAAGGAAATGGCTCTGCGGCTCATGAAAATGTCGGAAGGTGTAAACATTACTGTAGCATCGTTATGGTCATCGCAGCAAACAGGGACAACGGCAAGAGAGGCTGGCGGAATTTCAGTGTCTTCATGTACGACGAGTTTTGGGGACCGCTCAAGAATTTCGTGCCGAGGTTCGTCAGACAGGTGCGAAAATTGAACTTGAGCGCGTGCGCAGTCGATGACGGCATGATGATGTGACAGGAAGTCCCACCCGAGGATAACGTCATGCGAGCACACCGAAAGGACGATGAACTTGACAACGTACATAGAGCCTTGGATGAAAATGCGGGCTGTACAGGTGCCGAGAGGTCGAACTGGTTGTGCGCTAGCCGTACGAAGCGATAGTCCAGAGAGCGGCGTGGTCACTTTGCGTAGGGAGCGGCAGATCTGGGCGGCTATAACAGAAACAGCAGCACCTGTGTCGATAAGGGCAAAGGTAGAAACACCATCGACAGATATGGCGACGACGTTAGCAGGTGAAATGCGAGGACTTGGGCGTTTTGATGACGGCGCAGTTCTTGCCTCTGGAACTGCGGCGTTCAGTTTTCCCGGTTGGAGGAAGCGGGTCGGGGACGCATTGGGGACAGAGATCGCCTGCGAGGAGACGGCGAGCGGGGAGAGGGAGTCGGAGCTGGGGGCTGGGGTGACTGAGACTTGGGAAAATTAGTGTAGCCATACTGCGGTGAAGGATAGGGAGCAGGTAGGTGCGTGGGCTGCGGGTCATACGGTAACGGCCAAGTAGCGTTGTGTTGCGATTGGAAGCGACGACGACAATACTGTGCCACGTGTCCTGGAGTACCGCAGGCGTAGCAGATCGGTCGATTGTCAGCAGTGCGCCAGGAATTGCTGACTCGCGGTGCAGCCCAAGGTGTCGAAAGAGGGGTAGAGTGGGGAGCAACTGCACGCATGGGTGGCAAAAGCTGCTGGCGGGGTCTGCTGCGTACCACCTGGGCATAAGTAAGAGGCGCGGCCACGGGCTGCATAGCCGGCACATGGGGAACAGGCATGGCCACAGGCTGCTGGTGGGCAGTGACGGAAACAGCCTGAGCTACCTCTTCGGCAATAACGTCGCGGAGTGGTGAAAGCAGACGAGAGGATTGCGGCTGCTGCGTGAAGGGAGTCAACGACAGCTGCCGAGCTACTTCTTCATGCACAAAGTCTTTGATCTCTTGCAGGGTTGTTGAGTAATCAGGAACAGAAGTAAGACTAGATAGTGAGTCAGCGTGTGAGGAAAATGGCCGAGTAAGGCCGCGCTGCTTCCTCAACTCGTCGAAACTTTGACATAAAGTCACAAGTTCCACAACGGTGGCAGGATTGCGCATCAGGAGCATCTGAAATGCGCCGTCATTTATCCCTTTGATGATGTGTTGAATCTTCTCCGACTCGGGCATGGCGGTGTTCACACGGTTGCAAAGACCAATAATGTCTTCGATGTAACTGGTGAACGATTCAGATGGCTTCTGTGCGCGAGTCCGCAAGCGTTGTTCGGCTCTGGACCTGCGGACAGCGGGTCGGCCGAAAACGTCAGCAAACGACGTTTTGAAGATGGGCCACATCGTAATGTCGTTTTTGTGGTTGTTATACCACATTTCGGCCACGTCAGTGAGATAAAAAATGACGTTAGTCAGTTTGTCCGCGTCATCCCACTTGTTGTTTGCGCTCACCAGTTCGTAGTTAGCGAACCAGTCTTCCACGTCGGTCTCATCAGCTCCGCTAAAGACTTTGGGCTCTCGCAAACGAAGAACGCCGGGGTTGCTGGGGGATGGAATGGAAGAGCCAGGTTGCGCGTTGTTGGTAGCCATGATGGGAGGTAGCGTTCGGTTGCGCAGCTCCAGGTTTAGGCGACGGCGAATGGCAGCACCCAGGTTCAGGCGACGGGGAATGTCAGCACCCTCCACCAATTGAAACAGGGTTTCTTGGCAACTGTTGCGACGGTGATCCTACGATGAAACTCGATCGGGAAAAAGCAATGGTGAAGCAGATGCCGGCGATGATCAGCACGAGCCGAGCGAGAGAAGCCCAACACCCAGTACCCAAGCGGTGGCGATGTTGCTTGCCAACGATGCGTTTTCTCCTTCACACTTCATATGTTTTAAGGACTCAAACTTAATTACTTTGGAACAAAGCTTTTGAAGTAACAACAAACATTGCATTAAAATGAAATGGGGCACATTTCAGAAGCTTTCAAGCCATCATATTTGTGTCCACGCGTTCACTACTTGACTGTGGGGGTCTATAACAACAAATTTGTGAATGTATCGAAGTATCTTAGATACAACTCACAAGTATCATATCAGATACAATTTTTGCGGCAGTATCTTGCATCTGTGTCACCAATACTCTTTTGTCTGAGTATCGTGTATCTTATCGCAATACAATTTCAAAGTATCTTTGCCCAGCCCTGCTTGCCACTGCCTCAATGTAGTGTGTTTGAAACGTGTTTGTAGTATTTTTGCTGCCAGGGTTAGTGGAGCATTTGTGTCGATAAGACGCTGATATTATGGCTGTCAGGTACCATGACAGGTGCAGTGCTTTACTGCTCCTTCTCTCGCCGTTCGCTCTCTTTCCTCCCTGCGCCCCACTTTCTCGTCCGCTCGCGCCTCACTCTTGACCATTCGCTGGCTGGGCACCTTACAAGAACATCCGGAAATGTGTCCTCAAGATGCCGCTGTGAAACGCCAACGCCAAGCCAAGAACATAATTTGTTTTGTTCACTTCATAGTACTTTTTAACCGATACCACTAGCTACTAGAGCTGAAAACACATACCGCGATTCTCGCGACAGAAAGATTCAATGTGCGGCAATCAACGCTATTGGCTGCACGGTGTAAAAAAAAACATTATTCTTCTAACGCTGAGTTCTCACAAACGCTGTTATAGACGCTACGCAATGCATTCACATTTCCTCACGATTCCATTTGGGGAGGTGGGGCATTTCTTTTTTAAAGAATTTGGTACACACGGTTCTGTCATTCAGTTTGACATTATCCTGTTCTTACATTTATATAATTATTTTAACAAGGTTCTACAGATATGAATAATCACTTACCTGTTGTAAAAGGTCAGCATTGCTCCGAGTCAGCAGGTTAGTTTCATTTGAGCCTTCTTGATGGGAATCCGCAACTGACATCTGGACATGGATGAGATGTGCAAGCCATATTATTGGCTAGCTGCTACACAGGCATCAAAGACTCTATAAATATGAAAGACAAATCTGCCAGTTCAACAATTTTAGAGATCGGTATACCTTGTTGGAGTGAAGGAGCAACGTGACTGGCACACATGGGTAGAGGTTGCATACTGCTCTTTTAAAAGTCAGTCGACAAATATATACAAGCACAAGGACACAGTGCTACCAAACTCAACACTTAAACAGAAACTGCAGGAACTGAGTACAGGATACAAGATTTATAATCCAAAGTGATGATGCTGAATGACTAAAAGACTTGACACACACAGGACTAACAGGGAACCGCATAATGGGCAACATCACTTTACAACCATCATGGTGGCACTTTGCAAATTCACCGATCTTTACGCAGATAGGCTAACTCCTGACAGAAGAGTGCAATCGACGGTTTTGAAATACAGTTATTTAACAGCTTATATATCATTTCAGCCTCAATTATTTTGTGGGTCAGCTAATATATACTGGTACTCATAATTAAACACTCATTAAAAATGAGTATGTACATGGTATGAAAACAGTCACTTGCGCTGGCACCTGAATCACTGCAATGTCTGGGATGGGTATAGAGAAACCCACCTCTTTTTTCCTTTATGTTGTAATGGTGTTCCGTCTACTCTGACCCACATAATTCTTACCGCATGTCAATGAAAGCTAGTACACAACTTCATCATTTAGCTCTATAAACCTATTATGCTTCGTTTTGCATTCTTTCTTCTTTGATGAGGCAGGTCTGGTTAGTCTGCACAAACTGTGCAATTTTGTGGAAGCAAAAATGCTACATTTATGTTCACATGTTGTCTACCATACGCATAATACGGTAACTATCATACGACAACTACCATATGCATGATACCATGCTGCCAGGCCTCTGTGACTCATACTTTAGATGCAGTTCATTTTGCAATGATGACTTGGTGTTTCTTTTACATTTAAGGTCAACTTTTACATTTAAAAGTCAACAGTGTACAAGTACATCAAGGGGAGATGCAATTCAAAAAATAAGTTACACTAATGTGTAACCTAGAGCAATGAAATTTTTGCTGTATATTTAAGCTTTTGTTTTGATTTCAAATACGTAATAACTTTTACAGTAAAATGCAGTTTTCGTTTGTGGCATGACAATTTGAAAGCAAATATTGCAAATGAGTTTTGCGGAAATCCACAAGATGGCGGAAGGATTAAGAAAGGGAAAGAAGACAACCACCCATTTGTAGCACGTTGGCGTTGGTCCCGGGTTCGAACACCAGACAAGAACGAATTTATTGGATTTTATTTCTGAGAAATCTGTACAGATTATCTTGACGCTTCGTGCTACGAATTGGTGGTTGTCTTCTTTCTCTTTCTTAACTCTTCTGCCACCTTGCATGTTTCAGGAGAACTCATTTGCATTACTTGCGTCCATGTGCTTCGAGCTGTCAATGGATTCGCCCTCGCGCTGTCAATTGCTAGCTAGCTTCCTGGTTAGCTCAATCGGCAGAGCGACCGCCCCAGAAAGCCGTTGATCCAGGGTTCAAACCCCGAACCTGGACGAATTTTTCGGCAGCTGAGAGGCTTTTCTTTCTTAAAAATCCGTACGGATTTCCTAGTGGCTTCGTGCTACAAATAGGTGGTTGTCTTCTTTCCCTTTCCTGACAATTTGTAAAGCATAGTTCATTTTGGATGAACATTTTATGCCACTTAGCTTCTATAGTTCCAAGTCATTAATGGCTCATATTGCTCCACCTTCGATGTAGCATGCAAGTAACTATAAAGAAAGTACACATAAGACATTTTAATGAATAAAAAAATTGAAATGCAAGAAATGCGAGAAAGCCCATACTAATTGCTTACTTTACATTCATAATACAGTCGATCCTCGTTAATTCAAACTCAAAGGGACCTCTGAATTTTGTATGAATTACCAAGAAGTTTAAATTATGAGAACTTCTCAGACTCTGGGTGAAGTGACACCACACATTATGATTCGGCATTGATTTCATCACATTTAAAAATTTTTTAAGTGTTTTTATGCCCTAACTGCACGCAGTGAACAGAAAGCAGAGGTGTAAAGTCCACAAGTTTATTAGCCATTTACTGCTGATCAGACCTTTCAAACAAATCATGAATTGCCAACTGCTTCATTGCTATAGGTATGTACCTTCAGCCTAAAGCTCTTTATACCAGTTGACAAGCATCATGGTTTACCATGCGTGTGCTTTGTTTCTAACATTTGTTTAGTTGCAAAGCCTTTTCCCTTGAAGACTACAGATGCTTCTTATTTTTCATTTTTAGACTGTTAGGATTATATAGGCACACAAATTTTTAAATAGCAGTGGGAAAGCAGCTGATATTTTCTGGTATGGACCTGCAATTAATTAACTGAATGATGGAGTTTGAATTAAGAGGCTTTTGAATACATTGAAAGAATAGAGTGCCAACCAAGAAATTGAATTTTGTTTGAATTAACTGAAAGTATGAATTATCAGAATTTGAATTATCATATGTTTACTGTAATTATACAGGTGATATAAAGTTTTAAAGAAAATACTTGCACCTTTCCTGTGTTAAGGAATATGTGGGTAAAATTTCATCCCGATCGCACTATCAGAAGTACTAAAACTCAAGAACTTGCCCAAAATTGCATCTTGAGAAAAGACACTTTAAAGGTGTAGGTGAAAGATTATCTATACGGAAAAGACATGTTTCTTAGGATGATTTCTTCCATGATGAGAGCTTGGCAATTATGGTCATTTTGAGCATGTAGCTTTAGTGAACTCCTCATGAGAAATGCAATGGCAAGCAGCCAGGTGACAATGGGCTATTTTTAGTTTTTAGTAGTCACCGCGTACTTTTTAAAAAAGATTTCGATCTACTTCGAGTTAAATTACAATCTTCAGTATTTGAAAGTAGAAAACTTGTGAAAGAAAGAGAAAAAAACATGTAATTTTGAAGAAAAAAACTTGTTTTCGACTCGCATCTCCCTTTAAGTTTGCTTGAGAATAAAACAGGGCCTGTGTACACAGTTGGACCCCTTCTAAAAGAAAAACAAGCTAACATGCTAACAGACACCTGTTACTCACCTGCTGGTGTAGATTCTTGGACAGTGACTCCAATGCATCCTTTGTCGACAAGCTGGTATACAGGTTCATATGGCCAGAATGTACTCGGCTCATGTGTGCATTTAGGCTCCCAAGTCGCCGAAAAGTGCATGCACACTCTTGACACCTGCACACCAATCCATCACCAAATATGTGCATTTACGTTACGTAACAGCTTAAGTAAAGCTATATTATAACGGTATTACAAACAAAGCTGGTTCAAGATTTTGAGGAGTTATAAAAACCTGAAATATAGATGCAAGATACTAGTAGACGAATGGTGTCTAATATGATACTACAAGACAGTTATATGTTGACATATTTGGACACATTATTTATTTTCTCCTTATTTTTCCACTCTGGAGACTCTTGCAGGTTCACAGCTGTTTACTTGCACATGGTTTACTTCCCACTAGCAGAAACGCTCCACTTCAAATTAGCTTCATTAATATGCAAGAATTTTTTTCCACTTTTTAAAAGAATGCTATGGCACCACTCAGCAACTACATAAAGCAAGAATGTTATCCAGCCCACAGCATTTTCAAGCCATTGAGTTGAAAAATTCGTGAACATGGATTGTTGCTGGAGCCATTTCGACGAGCAGACTCGTCAAATTCAAGGCTGCAATTGAAGAAAACAAGTCACCTTGCTTGTCTTCAAGAATGATCAATGTTCCCCAATTTCCATCTCTTCGAGCTTCCATCTTCACCTGAGCTTCCACCCTCTAGACACTGCTTCATGGTCCAACAGAACAAGAGTCAGTGGCTAATTTAGGAACTTGTTTGTTTGCATAGCCTTACTGACACGGAAATTTTCGGTTGTGTTTTTTTTTTTCATCAAATGAAAGGCCAAGCCCTCAGCAGACTAGAAAATGTACTGCTAAGAATGAGTAGACCCTGAAAAAGTAATTACAGTACGTTCCTGAAACCTAGTTTATGTTCCTATAGTACCCTGACATCACAACACAATACAAGCTTCTCATCACGTGGCCGCATAAGATATTGTGACGTTTCCACAGCCGCTCCCCACCAAAGCGCAATCGGTGAAGCACAAGTGGCCATTTTGGAATTTTTGGCACCCAATGTCATCAAAGCTAGCCAGATTACTGCGTGCAGCCACCAGAATTAGTACTGCAGCGTGATGTCAAGCTAGCAGGTCCGTAGGTGCACCATGAGCAAACTAACTCTAATATCAAAATAAAATATGTTACCAGCATTTTCTGAGCCTCACACTTGCTCAGAGCCATCTCTGTGTAGAGGAGATTTGTGTTACAGTGCAAACATACCTCCGAAAAATGCAGTCAGTATTCCTTTAAGGTATTATCTAGGATAAATGTATCTTTGATACTGCAGGGTCCTGCATCTCTCACTCACAAGTATGGCAAATAAATTACACAAGGAGGAGAAAGATGAAATAAAATGCACTAAAATTATTCACTCAGATTTAGAAAGTGTAGCATATTTCTATGCTCAATATGAAGTGATGCAAAAGATATGATGGTGATCAAGCCAGCATGTTTTGAAACAAGCAATGTGCATATTTATTTACAGTAGACTCTCATTAAACAGAATTAGAAGGGACATTTACTGAGAGATGAACAAGGGTGCCGAATGCAAGAGCAAAACCAATCATGACAGAAGCACTTGTTCCACTTAAGCAGCAGTTCCACTTAACAGATTTCCGCTTACCAAGAGTCCACTGTATTTCAGCACCTTCAGGGGCCCGAAGACATTACAGAAACAAGTGGGTAACAGCATACAATAACAGAGAAAAAAGAGAAAAAGATGGCTTCCAATAGTACTATATTTCCTGATGTATAATACACAGTTTTTTTCCAATATTTTGATAGGTGTGTCTTGTACAATGGTGTGTCTTATATACGCAAGAAGTTATGCAATCCTGCCAAACCAACATGTCGATATTTCACTCAGGAGTACCATAAACTGCGCCTGATAGCAATCGTAAAAAGTGTCTAAACTTAGTATAGCAATGAAGAGCGTGTGGTCTCACCGGTCAGCGCTGATTGATATGTGGGGTTTAACGTCCCAAACGCACCATATGATTATGAGAGACGCCGTAGTGGAGGGCTCCAGAAATTTCGATCACCTGGGGTTCTTTAACGTGCACCCAAATCTGAGCACACGGGCTTACAACATTTCTGCCTCCATCGGAAATGCAGCCGCTGCAGCCGGAATTCGATCCCGCGACCTGCGGATCAGCAGCCGAGTACCTTAGCCACTGGACCACCGCGGCGGGGCGAGGTCAGTGCTGTTGAAGCGATGCGGCAACCACAGTAACTATGGCCGCAATAAACGTCATCATCGTCACATACACTATCATCCTGTTAATAATGAAATCCTTGGAATGGAGCCAATAAATAAAAAAAGGGCACCACAACCTATCATTGTGACGTAGCGTCCACAATTTCAGTGACAACAACGAAAGTACCAGTTCATTATCACCATCATTTGTTTTTGCACAAGGTGCCACTCTAGTGCAGCAGTAGACGCAGCTTCCGACTTCCTGTCGCCATTTATGTTTTGTATGCGTATATGTAGGGGTTAACCGTGTGTCATGATTGTTGTTAATTTGCCCCATTAAGCCTCATAATGTCGCAGAAGCTACAGCAATGATACACTTCAAGATGCTTTCAACGCCCCGTAAAGGAGTTATGTACTCAGAGGCTGACAACAGCAACTCTCAGATGCAGCCAACTAAGGCCGTAGAACTTGCGCCGGAGGATGTGGCTTTAAATACAGCGGAATATTGGTTTTCTGCACCTCAGGACAGCGTAATCTAAAAATTTTATACTCCTGCTCTCAGATATTCAGTGCCGTGTGTGACTACGCATTTCACAATGAACATACTCTGCCAGCATCATTCTGTTTTATCAGGTTGACAGAATTAAAACAGGTGTATCTTACACGGAGGTGCATTGCATATAATATTTTAGGGTGGTGTGGCTTATACAAATGCGCAACTAACATACCAGAAAATACAGTAAAGTCAAACCTCGTTAGTGCATACCCACTTTTAACTAACTGTTAAAATGCAGCTGCGACAAATCCCCGACTGAGTCTCATAGAGACTAATGCATTCGCAGACCGCTTAAGCAGTAGTGTTCAGCTTATGCCGACCAGTTAGTGCGTACTAACTGCGTACTGCGATAACATTTTGCGTCATTTTACTGCGCCACTTGACTTGCAGACGCCAGAATGTGACGTGGACGGTCTTCCATCATGTTGATAAGTGCAGTGATCAGCCAATACGTTATTCCAACTTCTGCGTGATTGCGCAGATGACATTGCAAGTAATCATCATGGAAAAAGCAAAGACAAGGCAGCGACCACCGATGAGTGCGCCAGTATGACTTATCGTAGCCGAAAAGCCTCATCAAAGTAAGCATCCTGGTTATCTACTCGGGCACGCGTGTGGTGTAGCCCCACTTTAGGTCGACTGCACGCTTTTAGTAGGCGACTACCTGAACATGCTGTGCTGCCGCTTCGTTTTACGAGACCGTGTTCAAGCGCGCACCCCTTTACAGAAATGCAAGCAGCTCGCTGCCACAAAGTTTAGCGTTGCAAGTAGCAGGCACCAAGAAACCTTGCTGTATTATGCCAACACGCGCACAGTACAGTGAGTGCAGTGTCGTTGTTACGATGCTGGACGCTTTTATTGTAGCGACAGCCCAAACGCGTCTCCATCAGCGGCCAGGATTACTAGAGCGTCGCAGAGAGCGCATTGCTTGCGGAAAGCTCTTCATTGCCGCGTTAACCCAGCAGACTAATCACCGAATATGTGCATGACCTGAAGCGAAAAGGGTGTACACAACAGCAAGCGGATCGGCAGTCGTGGTGTCCAGAGTGAGAGAAGTGCTGCATGCAACTAGCCATGCAGTAAATGATTTGGCTCTCTGTGACTGTACCAGTTTTTAAAAAAGAAAACTGTGTCAGTTTTCGCTAAGAAGCTGACCGCGAAATACTGTACTACGAACAGCCGTTTGTGTCCGTTCTGTCGCTGCACCACACTGTGTATCCCAGATCCTGCTGTAGTTTCGAAATGCTCATCGGCATCACCCCCGTATGCTATAGGGCGACTGTGCATTGAAATGACTGTGACTGTGAGTGTGCATTGAAATCACATGAGACCACATGAAATGTGTTGAATCATAGTGCACCAATAACTTGAAACTGAGTGTCTTTCAGTCTAAGAAACAGCATAAACAAGAAATTCTTTACGACAGCACCTACCTGAACATGGGTGTGTTTTGGTCACTTGGTGATGCGGAATGAACCCTCTGTATATGAGCACGCAGGTTGCCCCTTTGAGAGAAGGCAGCTGAGCAAAACTCGCAGTGATGGGGCCTTAAACCACTGTGTTTACTCAAGTGAATTTGGAGAGCTCCTTTCTGATTGAACGTCTTGTGGCAAATTTTGCACTCAAAGGGCCGCTCTCCTGCACAAAAACATACTTAGTTTATCACAACACATCATCACACTTTACTAGCCCTAAGGATATCTCTGCTATGCCCTTATATTTTTTTCCGTAGCGGTTTATTAAATGTTTCTACTGACTAACCATGGTGCATTCTCATTCCATGTTTCCAACAATAAATTACAAACATAATGTAAAAGGAGGCTTTTCATATAAATCTAGGCTAGATTATTCTGCATCTGCACTTACCTACTTTGTTTTATTACCCATGCAATGCCAGTAGTGCCCTTTTACTTTGGTTTTACTATATTTAGCATGTAGTTTAGAGGTGTGAAAACATTAAAAATTGAAAATAAAACCTAAATTGCTTATGCCATTTGATTTGATAATTCACTATTCAAAGCTGCCAAATACTTATTTGCTCCAAATGTACACAGGATAACAACACTTAATGCTAGTTCTAGACCAAAAGCTTTATTATTAGTATGGACACAATGACTTTAATATTGTCGTGACCCGGTGGCGCAACGGTATCGCGTCTGACTCCAATGACTTTAATATTTATTTAGATGAAAAAAAAAAAACACTATATTCAAAAAAATATTTTATCACAAAAAAATACATTCTGAATGACGCCCTTTATAAAAATGCACTACATAACACAGGACTAAGAAGGATGCACATTTAACAAGAACGTTCTTGTGCTTATCCATGCTCAGTCGCTCAAATTTTACAAAATGACCAAATTTTACTATTATGATAGGTGTTACAATATGTTGTAATACTTTTTACTATGCATCTTGTTTTAAAATATTACTATTAGTAGTAAGAAGATTATATTTATGGATAAGCTAGCTGCTGTAAAGAAGACATTTGTATATACTTGTGCCACCATATGCTGATAGCTACAGAAAAGAAGGAAAATGTTCTAGGAGGGCAGTGTTGTGTTAAGAAGAGCAGAGCAAGGGACATGAAGCAAGCTTCATGGAACAGCTACTTTCTGCAGCTGCTGGTAGATGGTGGGCAAGCTATTGCTAACGTCAACTAAGCAGCAGTAAGCTTACCATAGCACTTCGAACAGGGTAGAGACATACCTGTATGTATCCTGACGTGCCTCAACAGCTGACTGGGCTTCTGAAACTGCTTTTTACATGTTGTACATTTATGTGAGAATGATGACCGATCAATATTTTTCTTGTAGGTGCGATGGGAAAGGGACGCCCTAAGAATAAAAAAAGTTATTAAGGCATCTGTTTCACTTTCATATACTAATCAAAATCAGTGTATTGTATTCTCACTTAATTTTATTGTGCATTTTCATGTGCTCCTTAAGAAGGTGCCGCTTGCAGAAGAATTCGGGACACTGGTTGCAGAAGTAGTACTTGTCCTTAAAAAGCTCATCCTTGTGCTCCTGAGCATGACGGTCAAGGCGTGCCTGCATGGTGTAAGTGGTGTGACACTGTTCAGTAACCTTCAAAGTAGCTTTTCTAGTGTCAGTATCCAATAGGCAATTGAAACAGAACATTTGACACAGAATTATACATGAAAGAATTATCAACTGCTATTACACATTACCTGACTCAAATTTTTCTTACCAAAAGTGACATTACTTTGTTCTTTAAAGAAACTGCAGTGAAAGAAGAGGGCAAGTAAAACACTATTCACACTCTTCACTCTATGGTTTATAAACCTGCATCTAAGGTTGCACTATGCACATAATTTTTTGAAGTAATCTCCCTCCTTATCAATGCTCTTGGTCCAACAGTGAATGAGCTTACGTATTATTATGGCCTTCTTCACTGCCACACTTTTAAGCTGTTCAGGTATCTGACAAGGGTTGCAAGAATGTAATGCTATTCTATTCTGTGCTCCCGTTTGTCATGGGTTGCAGCAAAAGATTTGAAAGTGTCCAATCACAATATTATTCTGAACAGTGCTACAATAAGCCGAACAAAACTGAAACATTTATGGAATAATCGGAGAGTGTCCTATTCTGAGCAGAAGAGAACTTCGCTGGCCACTGACTGTTTAGTTGATGTAGGGCACTCGTTTAGGTATAATTATATTTGCTTGATTGTATATTTCTTGTCAATTCCTTTATTTTCTTTCAGAATAAAATTCAGCACCATTTTTCATTATATATTCGAACAACGCACTCGTGGAATATTTTACCCATTGACAAGTTTGCTAACTATAATTTAGCATAATATTAGCATAACCGTCATTTTGATGTTGCAGATTTATGAAGTTTCCAGTCACCATTTCACTGACAGAAAAAATGAGCGGGACCAGAAATTTTTCAATTAGGTTTTTTCTGAATACTAGTCAGGAAAGACCAATGGCAAGTTCACAATAAAAAGCAAAGTGGAATAGAGTTACCTTTTGTAATTCATTCCACTTATAAAGGTGTGCACCCGAAAGTTTGTGAACTTAAGCAACAACCTGTATTCCTGCTCCTGCTCAATTATTTAGACACACTTCAAAAGCATTGAGTTACTATCTTGACAGGTTGGCTGGGCGGACAAATATGAAAAACCTGGATAAGTGACTGTGAAGTTAGATTTGTTCAATCAGTAACTGGACAGTAGAAATGATAAAAATATCCACAGGAAAATTTGCATTTGCTGTAAATTTCTATATGATTACAAAATATCCATTTGTGATACACCATACCTTTCACAACTAAAATTTTAAAATTTCAACAATGATATGGCGGTAGACACTGGAGCGTGCTTCATGCCTTGACTTTGTAAAAATGTTTTAGACAGTATTCCAACATATTCCAAACATCCCCTTTATAAAAATGGTTTAAACGATATTCCAAACATCCCCTTCACCCTTTGCAAAGCTCACATGATGAGATGAGCCTTTCTGTTGTAATGTTTTTTTTTTTTTGCCAAGTTACATTGATTGATTGATTGATGTGTGGTGCTTTACGGCGCAAGGGCCAATTGATGGCCAAAGAGCGCCATTTCAATGAATAGAGATGTGGACAATGATATGTTGCGTAGGCTGTATAGGGGCCTTAAAATTCCTCGCGATAATGCGGGTAAAAACATAAGTATTAAAATCATGACAGTGGCGTAATATGCATAGTAAAAAAGAGTGACAAAGATTTTGATAATAAAAAACGAGTAAAAATATTTGGCACTAGCACAAGTGCCTCATCAGCGCCCTTGTGTTCAAGGGCTGCAAGGCAAGTGCTTTGTTGTGTAGCCATTGCAGCGAAAACCTCTCTTAAGAGGTCGCGCTACGCATTGCCTGGGCATATGACATGATAAAAGTGAACATCTTTTAAAAAAGCTAGCCGCGATTTATGAGTGAACAGTGCTTCCCTACCAACGAACATTGCAGGGAGTAAAGGTATATGTTGTCGGTAGGGTAATGAAAAGTGTTGTTTTCTTAGAGTGTCTAGTTGTTTGCACTGGATTAAAATGTGAAGAACTGTTAGTGCTTCATTACATCTGTCACACAATGATGGATCGCCACCGGACAAAAGATGCGAGTGTGTCGTGTATGTGTGTCCTATCCTGAGCCTCGTTAGTATTACCTCTGTGCGAGGAGATCTTGATACTGGCGGCCAATGGCCAAGGTGTGGCTTAATAACATGCAGTTTGTTTTGTGTGTATCGATCCCACTTGCTTTGCCAGTAGTTCCTGAGCTTTCGTTTGAGAAACGGCTTAAGATCAAGGGCTGGGATATATATGAGTGTAGTGGCAGCGCTTTCGTGGACGGATGCAGCAAGCTGATCCACCATCATGTTGCCTTGGATCTCACGGTGCCCTGGCACACAGCACACTACATGTTGTTTGAGTGTGTAGAGTGCGCATAAAGTGGAGTAAAGCGAGACGAGGACAGGGTTTTTTTGTTTTTTAAGATTGTGCAGAGCCGTTACCACACTGAGGGAGTCCGTATAAATTACTGCTTTTTGTATTTGTAGTTGTTTGATGTGTTTAGCAGCCACAAATCGGGTAAGCTTACGCTGTGAAGATACTTGTACCTGGATGCAGAGGGCCAGCATCCGAAAAGGATGGCCCGACAGCAGCGTAGGACACAGAGGAGCTAGCCTTAGAAGCATCTGAAAAGAACTCAGGACGTGTGTATTTGAGTTGAAGTTCCAGGAAGTATGTTCGGATATGGGCAATTGGTGCATGTTTAGTAACTTCTAGGAAAGACACATCGCAGCCTATAGGCTTCCACTGCCACGGTGGCGGGTATGTTACAGGAGCCATTAAACTGTGTTCAAGTGACACTCCAGTTTCTTCAGCTAGACCCTTCAGGCGAACTGAGAAGGGCTGCCTCATTGAAGGCCTGTTTTGAAATAGAATGGAGCTCGACAAATCATTAATAGTAGAGTATGAGGGGTGCTTCTTGTCTGCTTTCACCTTAAGGAAATATACAAAAGACATGTAAGTTTTCTGCAGATGAAGCGAATACTCATTTGACTCAACGTAAAGGCTTTCTACGGGGCTGGTGCAAAAAGCACCCGTAGAAAGGCAGATGCCCAAATGGTGCACGGGATCCAGCATCTTCAAAGCACTTTGAGTCGCAGACTGATAAACAACGGCCCCATAATCTAAGCGGGTGCGAATGAGGCTTCTATACATGTTCATGAGACATTGCCTATCACTACCCCAAGTAGTACGTGACAACACTTTTATAACATTCATGGCTTTTAAACATTTTGTTTTTAAATACTTCATGTGTGGTACGAAGGATCAATTTGTCCAAGATTAAGCCTAAGAATTTATGCTCGGCTTTGACAGACAGACGTTGCCCGTTCAGTCGAATGTCAGGTTCCGAGTGCATGCCTCTCTTTCGAGAGAACAAGACACACGTGCTTTTTTGTGGGTTAAGTCGAAATCCGTTTTCATCTGCCCATTTGGAGACCTTGTTTAAACTCAGCTGAACTTGCCGCTCACATATTGCCAAGTTGCATGACTTGAAGCCAAGCTGAACATCGTCGACATATGTACATAGAACATATTGCGGGGGATGGACAGGTGCAAGGAATTCATTTTGATAATAAAAAGTGTACAACTAAGTACACCACCTTGCGGTACTCCCGTCTCCTGGACAAATGTTTGGGAGAGAACACTGCCTACACGGACACTGAATGTTCGATTGGACAAGTAACTCTCGATTATGGAAAACATTCTACCGCGCACACCCAGGTGAGACAAGTCTCTTAATATGCCAAAACGCCATGTTGTGTCGTAAGCCTTCTCGATATCGAGGAACACAGAGAGGAAGTATTGTTTGTGGGCGAAAGCGTCTCGGATCTGTGCCTCGATACGCACCAGATGGTCGGTGGTGGATCTACCCTCTCGAAATCCACACTGGAATCTGTCGAGCAGACTGTGTTTCAAGGAGATGTAAAAGTCGGCGGTTTATGATCTTTTCAAAAAGTTTACAAAGGCAGCTTGTAAGTGCAATGGGCCTATAACTTGAAACTGAGGAAGGGTCCTTGCCGTCTTTTGAAATGGGAATAATTGTAGCCTCTTTCCAGGAAGCAGGGATGACGCCAGAAAACCAGATAGCATTGTATAGGGAGAGTAATGTTTTTCGCGTTTCGAGCGGCAGGTTTTTCAACAATTCATACACTACACGATCGTAGCCTGGGGCAGAATTACTGCAGGAGTTTAGCGACGTTTGTAGCTCAGCTAAGTTGAAAGGCTGGTTGTATGCCTCGTAGTTTGTACACTTGTGTTCTAGTTTCTGCTTTTCTATCCTTGCTTTATATCTTTGAAAAGCTTGAGTATAGTGTGATGAGCTAGACACCTGCTCGTAGTGGGCACCGAGGAAGTTCGCCTGATCTTCCAGGCTGTCACCCTGTGTGTTAACGAGTGGGAGTGTATGTACTTGTCTTCCTGCTACCCTACGAACCATGTTCCAGACTTTAGCCTCTTGTGTATATGAATTGATCCCTGATAAGAACTTGTGCCAGCTTTCTCTTCTGGCCTGCCTGCGCGTTCTCCTGCCTTGAGATTTTATTTTCTTAAAGCTGTCAAGATTTTTGGCTGTCGGTGAATTCCGAAACAACCTCCATGCCTTGTTCTGCTCCTTTCGCGCATTACGACACTCATTATTCCACCATGGGACTCGTCGTTTGCCTGACTGTCCACATGTTTGTGGTATACATTTCGTTGCAGCATCGATCAAAAATGCTGTCAGGTAGCTCACAGCAGCTTCTACGCTTAACCCTCCATGTCAGTCCAAGTTAGGAGAGTCATTTTTTGATACTGTTCCCAATCGGCTTTGTCGGTGAGCCATTTGGGAACCTGTGCAGGACATATATTTGTTATTGATGTGCTGATAACGATAGGAAAATGGTCACTGCCGTATGGATTATTAATGACCTTCCATTTAAGTAGAGGCAAGAGTGATGGAGATGTTATGCTGAGGTCTATGGCTGAGTACGCATTGTTAGCGATG